CAGACAGGGTAAGGGGTTGGAGGACAGGCAGCACAGCTTGGCATTGTGAAGGAGGAGTGACCATCCCGGAACAAGTGTCTCTATGCTAGCCACCCATCACATACTTGAGTTTCAATCCCCGACGCCTCTGTTTTGAGACAGGGTCTTTGTAGCTCTCGCAGTTCTGGAGCTCGCTTGTGTAGGTAGACTAGACTGGCCTCAAACTTACAGAGATCGATCTGCCTCTACCTCCAGAGTGCTGGGACTAAAGGCATTCACCACCATGCCCTGCATGCCATCTTTTGAGACAGAACTAGCCTGGAACTCGCAGCGATCCTCCTGCTTCTGTCTTCCAAATGCTTGGATTGCAAGACTATTGCAATACTTTCCTACTCTCCTTATGTCCTTCCCGGGTGTCTCTGAGTTTGAACGTCCCTAAAGTGCTACCTGGCATTTAAAAAAAGAAAAGGAAAGAAGAGAGAAGAGAAGAGAAGAGAAGAGAAGAGGTGGTGCAAAAGGGCAGATTTTTCCACAGACGTGGACTGAGAGTTACAGATGCACTTTAAGCCTAGTGTGTCAATCCTTCCTGTACCTAAAAGAACTAGACTTGCAAACAGCAAGAAGGTAAACAAAGGAGAGATCAGGAGCAAGCTGTGAGTCCAGCCATCAGTCAGAGGGTCTTGAACACAGTTGTGATATCCAATTCACTACTGCAATTGCCCACAGAATAAGGAAAAGCATCCCAGAACAGAACGATTCACCAACATTATGGCCTCAGGACATTTTTACACTGTTGGAAATAGAGGATTTTTTTTTTTTTTTTTTTTTTGGTTTTTGGTTTTTCAAGACAGGGTTTCTCTGTGTAGCTTTGGAGCCTATGTATGGTCTTGCTCTTGTAGAGAAACTGATTTTGGTTCCCGGTATCCCCATTAGGTAGCTCAGGACTGTCTTTAACTCCAATGCCTGGGAGATTCTATGCCTCTGGCCTCTGAGGGCACCTGCAATCATGTGCACATCGTGAGCATTAGGACAGATAGAATGGACAGGGATTCTGGCACTTGGGATCAACAGAATACTAAGTATTACAGCTCAGATGGAAAAGTATTCTGGCACTCGGGAGCCAAAGAATACCACAGATCACAGTAAGCCCAGCAGCTTACACCCCTGCTCCGGGGAAAGGCTTCCCCGGTGTATCAGCTCTGCTCCAGCAGGGGAAGGCTTCCCCAGTGAAGTTGTTACAGTTCAGCTCCAGTCCCATACAGTGTAGTATGACAACTCCACTTAGCTAGGGGAAGGTTTCCACAGAGAAAGTGTTATAACCCTGCTGCACTCCTCCCATCACTGTGGGAGGAGCTCCAGTGAAAAGTTGTTACTTCTCAGCTCCATTCCAGAGAAGGAAGGATTCACCCAAACCTCATTCAAGAGATTTATCAGGAGGGAAGAATCCAGGAGAGTGGCTGCCCTCTGGCAGGGTGGCAGAGGACAACCAGACAGTCTGACAGTCACAAGTTGAACAGGTACAGGGTTTATACAGGGCTTCTTAGGGGCAGAGTTTTTCCAGGGAGATTTCCAGGGTGGGGATTGGTCAGATTTCAGTCCCTTGGGTTTAGATTGGCTAGATCTCATATTCAGGAATTGGTTGGTTTTCTGCTCAGGTTTAGGGTCAGATTTGACTCTGGTTTCAGGGCCAAAGTGTGTTTCTTTCACTAGTCCTTTTCTAGCCTCTTGGTTCTAATTTTAGGGCCAGGGTGCATTTCTTTCATTGGCTCTGATTCTAGGGACAAAGTGTGTTTCTTTGGCACTAGCTTCACAGTCAGGGTGCATTTCTTTAGTTCTGGTTGCAGGGCCAAACAAAGTGTGTTTCTTTGGCCCTGCTCAGGGTATGTTTCTTTGGCTGGCCCTTTTTCCCTACACACAGACTTATACACATAACTAAAAATAATAAAAACAAATTTCAAAAACTATACATCAGTGTTAAATGTGGTGGTGCAAGCCTATAATTCGAACATTCAGAAGGTGGAGGCAGCAGTATTGGGAGTTGAAGGTTGTCCTCAGGTATGTAGTAAGTTTCAGAATCACCTATATAAAAAGAAAATACAAAAAACAAACAGGCAAACAAAAAACAAAATTATATAGCATACACATATACACATATATGCTGACTCATTCAAATACAATTAAAAAGCTATTACATATTTAGCTAAATTACATCTATAACATAATAGATCACTGGTCTAGTATGTGTGATGCCTTGTGTTTGATCCAGCAAGTCCTACAAGTTTTTGTGGAAAATTTGGGCCCAACCATAAGGTCCTTGTGGTGGTTTGAAAGAAAATGCCCCCAAAGGGAGTGGCACTAACGGGAGGTGTGACCTTGGCATAAGTATGGTCTTGTTGGAGGAAGTGTGTCACTGTAGGGTGGGCTTTGAGGCTTCCTATGCTCAAGCTATATCCAGTGAGACAAAGTACTTCCTGTGGCCTGCAAGCCGAGATGTTGGACACTTAGCTAGCTCTTCAGCACCATATCAGCCTGCATGCTACCGTGTCCAGTCAAGATGATAAGGGACTGAACCTCTGAACTAAAATGGAGTTTTAATTAAATGTTTTCCTTTATAAGAATTACCATGATCATGGTGTTTCTTTTCTTTTTTTTTTTTAAATATGGAACACTTCACGAATTTGTATATCATCCTTCCACAGGGGCCATGCTAATCTTTTCTGTTCATTCCAATTTTAGTATATGTGCTGCCGAAGCGAGCACGATCATGGTGTTTCTTCACAGCAATAGAAATCCTAACTAAGACAGACGTTGGAACCAGGGACTGGGTTATTGCTATGATAGACCTAGCCGTGCTTTTGTTGAGTTTGGGTTAGGAAAGCAATGGAATGCTTTAAGTGCTGCTTAATGGGCAATACCAGTAGGAACACCAAAGACAAAGGTGATAAGAGTGATTTGAGCCGGGCGTTGGTGGCACACGCCTTTAATCCCAGCACTCGGGAGGCAGAGGCAGGCAGATCTCTGTGAGTTCGAGGCCAGCCTGATCTCCAGAGTGAGTGCCGGGATAGGCTCTAAAGCTACACAGAGAAACCCTGTCTTGAAAAAAAAAAAAAATTAATTCCGGGCTGGAGAGGTGGCTCAGTGGTTAAGAGCACTGACTGTTCTAGAGCTCCTGAGTTCAATTCTCGGCAACCACATGGTGGCTCACAACCACCTTTAAGAGAGATCTGGTGCCCTCTGCTGGCATGCAGACAGAAGACTGTATACATAATAAATAAAATCTTTTAAAAACTTAAAAAAAAAAAAAAAAAGAACAACATCTGATATTGTCCCTTGACCGCCACATGCACACCATGGCATGTGCACACCCTCACACACATGAACACACACAACTATGCACCCACATTGCAATCTGGGGAGCTGGGGATGTAGCTCAGTTGGTAGAAAGCTTGCTTAACATGAATGAAACCCTGGGTACAGTCCCCAGCACTGCATAAAATAAGGTGTGGTGGTCCACATTTGTAATCCCAGGAGGTGGAGGCAGGAGAATTAAAAGTTCACAATCATCCTGGGTTACTTAGTGAAACAGCCTGGGGGACATAGCACCATTTCAAGAATAAATAAGGCCATAGAAAATGGCTCAGGCCGGGCGTTGGTGGCGCACGCCTTTAATCCCAGCACTCAGGAGGCAGAGGCAGG